GTGTGTCTGTGTGTCTGTGTGTCAGTGTGTCTGTGTGTCTGTGTGTCTGTGTGTCTAAAACAGGAACAGAGAGGAGGCTTTTTACTTGATCAAGCTCGTGCCACTGGGTGTGTGTCAGAGAGAGAGAGAGAGAGAGAGAGAGAGATTCGGCATGGAGCTAGCCGGAGGGGCACCGCGCCATGTGGGCGTATTGTTTTTGGTCCTGTGCCTCTCTGCTGCTCTCTTCTTCGAAGAGTCTGCAGCTACGGACTCAAGTGCACAAGTCGGGAGTTTCCAGGACTATAATCCCTGTCCTCCCGGTCAATGTTTGGGCGTTGACCGCACACATTATTTTTGCTATTATTGCACACCCAGCGCTCTCGGGGCCTCGCAGACCCGGTGCCCTCCCGATGAATATTGGTCCCATTCGAATAACCGCTGCGAGGCGCCAAGCCGTGTGGCTCCTATTCTCTAGAAGGCAAATATCCTCCCAAGCCGTGCGACAACGTCGAATTTTTGGTCCCATCACGCTCAATTGTGAGGCGAACCGTGATTCTGGCCAAGTTCCGTACAGTACCGTCAGTAACTTGGTCTAACAAGGAAGAAATGTAAAGTATTCACTGCAGCAGAAGCTGCTCCTTACTGGAGGAGATTGACACCAGCTTACAGTGCCGTCTTGGTGTCTCGTCTTCACCGGACCAGTGCGGCGGCTGAGGCAACTTTCAGTCAACACACAGGGATAATGACCGGGCCTTCTGATCGGGTGAAGAAGGTGGTGCTCCCCCTCCCGTCGTCAGAGTGTACCCGGAGCTGCAGGCAGAGGAACGGCGAGCAACGGAACTCGATACGGCTGGACGAGGTTGGGTAGGCAGGGTAGGGTGGCTTGGGTCGGGGGGAAAAGAGACTCTACAACATCATGATGGTGGACCAACTTCTAAACTTTGGGAGAAAGAAGACATCCGTGGCTATCCTCAGTCGAACTACAAGCAGGGAACGCCACACCTATGTTTGTACTGCAGGCCCTGGGTTGTGTTGGCCATTTTGAACTGTTTGTTTGAAAAGCTTGCCCATGATTTATACACCTGTCAGAGACTAAGGACTGTCCAGGGCTGCAAGATGAAGACTGCGCGTTATGCTGTGCAGAGAATGGATTACGGTAGTGGAAGCATTGTCTTACAGTGGTGGTTGTTTTTTCAATTTAATTTCTGTTGTCATCGTTTTTTCGCGCTCTCGACTTTTTTTTGTTTTTTGTTTGGGAAGGAGTGTGCATTATGCTGTGCGGTGAATATATTATGGTACTGGAAGCAATGTCTACGAATGCCTTTATCACCCAATCAGTCGCACAGCACCTTCCCATCCAGGCTGAAAGACACAAATTCATGGGTTTACACACACACACACACACACACACACACACACACACACACACACAGAAAATCAGTTTTATGTACGTCTGTCTGTTTTCTTGTTTTTGCTCCTCCGACAATAATTTCTAAGTAGTTTCTGTCTGTTGGAGTGAGCACCCTCAAGAAGTGCTAATCAGTAGGTGGTCCGTTGTTTGGAGTGCCTACAGCACTTTAGGGGGGCTGCTCTGGTTGGGATGTCTGTGTTGCCTGTGGGTGATGATGGATGCTCGTTGGAGTGTCTCCCCAGATCAGTCGGTGGTGGGAACCAACAGTCTGAGGGGTTCATCGTGATGTGAGTAGGTCATGTGCTGCTTTGCTCCGTGTTGGATGTGTGGACTGCTTTGTCTGCGCTGCATTGCTGCCTTGCTGCCTGTCCTGTTTGCTTCACATGTGGTTGTATGCAAGTCGCTGTGTTCGCTGTGTGGTGCGGCCGTGCTGTTGGTGTTGCCTGGAGGCTGGCGCTTCGCTGCTCCGCTGCCTTGCCGGTGTTGCCACCCATCCGCTGGCCGTGCCTTCCGTGTTTTCTGCTTGCGTGCCTTGTAGGTTGTTTGCCTTGTTGCTGTTGCCTTGCGCTTCACTGCACGGTTGCCGAGCTGCTGGTCCGCTTGCCCTGCCGTTCCTTGCAGCGTGGTTGCCTTGGACGTGTTGACTTGTGCTTCACTACGCTTGCCATGTTGTTCCTTGCAGTCCTTTTGGGCGCTGTGCAGCCGTGTTGCTGCTCCTGTGTTGCCTGGTGCTTCGCAGGGTTGCTGCCCGCTGCTACGTTCCGCTTGGGGACAGGCTGCCTTCAACATGCATTGGGTCAAAGGGTTCATTACCCAAACCATCCACAACGGAGATTCCGCAGATTGTCGAGGGTTCAGCCTCCTCATAAGTCGGTGCAACTCCGAGGAAACAATCTATCATCACAAGTTTTTTTTTTCTTCGGTTTTTGTTGTTTCCAAATTTGTATTCTTTTTGCATGCTGGTTGGTGTCATACCCTTCCTAATGCTTCCTTTGCGCTCTTGTGTATGGTCTGCCCTCCGGCCTTTGTGTCTTCGGTATTTTACATCTAAGCTGTGGACACTGGTCGTCTCTTGCTTGTAAGTGGGATTGGCTGCAAAGCGTTGGAACACATGTTAGGATGGACATGTTGCGTCTGTTCCCTGGGGCTGGGGAAAAGCACGTCTTGGTGTGAAGTTGACAGATGGGGGTATAAACAATACGTAAACATTAGACAGACACACACAGAGAGAGAGAGAGAGAGAGAGAGAGAGAGAGAGAGAGAGAGAGAGAGAGAGAGAGAGAGAGAGAGAGAGAGAGAGAGAGA